ACTACAGTGAAAAATTCTATTTCTATTCAACTCAAATTCAAAGGTGATAATGTCACAAGGTTAATTAACATGAGACCAAAAACCACATCAACGAGAACTTATCCTGCAGCTTAAGTGATTATCCTGTCCAAAACAACATGCTCTTTGACAAAATGTAACGTAGATATGTATCCCTCTCATGTTACCACCAACTGTGTATACAAATTTACATGTATCTGCCAAAGCAGTTACATTGGTAGAAAAGAAAATGCAGCCTTCATCCGATTCAAAGAACTTATTTCGAAGGATTTGAAATTAAAAGGACCAAAAGCATTCAATAGTGCCATCGTAAGACATCTCCTTGACACAGGACCCTAAGTTGATACACTGACGTTCTGCAAGTTGATCAACAAACAATCATACTCAGACTTTTCCAAATTTGCCAAAACGATAGCAATCAAATGTCTTAAATCAGATCTATGTATACAAAAACAAACAGTAATAAATATTTCTTTGCCCCAGTAAAATTAACCCCCACTATTTATTTATTACGTCATTAACTATTTCAACAATTTCTGAATTCTAAAATTACATGATTCACGACTGATTGATTTCAATCCACATCTTTCTTTATTACCACTAATCTATTTCTAGTTACTCCAATAAATAATCATCTAATGTGTTTGTTTAATTCCATCAGTTCTAATCACAATTTCAATGTTCTGGAAGCTTCCTTCCCAAACTTCATCCATTTGAAAGAAAATTATATGACCTCATCAACTCTATCGGAATCTTCACTACATCATGAAACATATACTGATCCTTAATCATCCTCTTACGTAATAATATGTCATTGACACTATTAACTCTGACGAGAACATAACATACTAAAATGAATTCATATGATTCATCACCGATCTTTGTTCTTGCTCTATTTAGGAATTAATCTTCTAATGTTCCTTCACGTAGAAATTCATTTCACATCTGCGGCAAAATTAACACAAATTTCAACACTAGATGACATTTCAAAATACACTCCATCTGTTGTCAAACCTGATTGCCTCCACTCAACGTCGTAATCCAACTTCAGTTAACATTCATCACAAACACATCTGATAAACGGTCGAGTGCATAAATCCAGAATATCAAGTAAGGATGAGTTTCTCTGTCCCATTGATTGAAATAAAACCATACACTGAACGTGATGTGAAAATTTCCATGAAAATGATGACTGTTCATAGTTTCACATTCATTAGACAGGAAGAATATCAACTGGTCGAAACTAAATGTATCTAGATTATTAACGGGAGTTCCACTGATACACAAACTGCGAACGTGACAACTAAAGAATTCAGTAAGATAACGATCACTATACTTATTTGAAATTAGATGGTAAATATTGACAGAGCTTATTCAAAGCTGATGCCGAATCTACCCTTAAATGACAGAAAATTTTATTCACCTTTATTTCTGTCAGTTTGTCGGTGTTTGGCAGTCATATGAGTGAATCATTAATAAGCGACATTCCTTATTATAATCAAAGTAAATATTACGTTCACTATACAATAGATAACATCAGATGGCTTGATTATTCAGATAAAATATGGTGACTAACAACAAAAACGTATGATTATTGACATTTCTACTAACAGCAAATAAGGTGAACCGACAGACATTTGGAAATCACACTCTCAGATAATGTACACTATTATTTTCATCATTATTACTTTAAGAATAATTTTTTTATAATAAAACGGATAGTATCTTAGAAAAAATGAATTAGGTGTGGTGATTATATGTAATATCCAGACACATAATGGTGATTGAATGGTCAGTTTACATTCCCAGTGTGAACGGTTTCAAGTAGACGTACGAAGCACATGTTATATTTCCGTCTAACAGGTGTCCAGCTGACTAAAGTGAAGATGACGAAATACAAAAAATCGGAACAACAAACAATCAGTGATATTCATCAAGGAACTGAAATCACGCATCACGCATCTCTCTGATTATTACTAATTAGCTATGTCAATTGACAATGTTTGAAGAAATTCTCCAGGAGTGTTCGTTGGATTACATTCAGCTCATCATCATCTGTGTCTTCAAAGCATATTATTCTGGATCTTCAGAGAGGTTGTCGGATCAAGTTACTCCTCCTACTCAGTGCATTTAAATCTGCGATGTCCACGTTAATCCATCTCACTTCTTATTATGCTTGAGTGTATTTGACAATTTCGAAGGCCTGCTCTGTTTTATCATAGTACACTACTACTCCTAATCAGATTTTACAGTTTCTAACGGAAATCGAGCAAAGAAATGCCGTCAGTAATTTGATATGTTCTAATCTACGTTTACAGTCTTCTGTGAAATTCATATAATTCCCTTTCTGAACCCGGTTATCAACAGGTAAGCAAAGAAAATTCTTGTATTCTATCACAGTGATCTAACATGACTTTCTTATAGTCGTCATTATTCAACTGATTCGTGTACACAATTAATTGATCAGAATGTCAATTATCAGCTAACAACAAGTAAGCGAAATAAAATCTGAATTCGTTTCGTAAATACAGTGTAAAATTGTGGCTGCGTATTGAGTATTCAAGGTCAATTTCATGTGCGTACTACTTTCGCTACCTTAGCCATTGGTTTTAGAGTTCTTGCAGGAGAACTATTTTTCCATTTGGTTTTTCTTTTCATTTTTGATTGTGTTTTTTGTTGTTTTTTGAACTTTTTTATTTTCTCTACATTCATTTCTTGTTGATTTGTCAAATATGAAAATGGGATTTTTCATCATAAATGAATAATAAGTAATAATAAGGATAGGGGAATATAACACTCATCTGACATCTGTCAGACTATCTACATGTGTAACTAAGCAAACAAGCAATCCTTATCAAACTGGCCCACACATCAAAGGCATAGTGGAGCTTTTATACGTTTGCTTGCATACATGGATTCTTATGTGTTCACGTCTTGTTCTACCAGGAAATATACAAGGAGAAAAATATGAATGAAGTGGATGCTTAGTATTTGATAGGATAACATCTGGCATGCCTTAGTAAGCCATTGGATGCCTAACCACAATCATATTATTATTGAGTTTAAAAGATTATCCAAACACCTTGCTAATTGCTTTCGGCACTCTTTGCAAACCAGAAAAGTCTTTATTTCACAAGTGCGTGAATGAATAATTCTGGACAGTGAAGAAGAATAAGTTACATGCAACAACTACCAAATTGTGCAGTCAAATTCAGTACTTACAACATATTCGCTTGTAACAATATGCAAACTACACAAGAAGATATGATGAGTGACTAACAAATAAGTTCTTATCTAAATCCTACTTATCCTGAGTAGACTAGTTTGCTTCATATAATTAGATACTGGTTAACAGCAAAGAGAGCATAAGGTATCATTGAAATTAATTTTGATGTTGATTAATTCATGAAATCACACACCAGTGCCTCGTTCGACTAGACTGTGCTGTCTAAAGAAAACAACATTTTGATTACAGTGAAAACCCTTCTAAAGTAGAACACCACATCTTTGTCTGCCTTTTATTACGACCTTTGGCGACCTCAATCTACATAACTGGACACTATCAGTTCCACTTCTACATTATGGACACTAGTTGTATTATCTCTTTTTTAATATGAACACCCATTAAAACCTTTTAATTGCCAGTGGTATAATGCGGTGGTCAAACAGAATGGATGTGACTTCATTTAGATATTATATTTTCATACAGAACAACGATGAAATCGCCTTACAGAATTCTGATCAAAATAAAAGAGTATATGCTGACATCTAATCGAAACAGTTTGTGTCACTTCCATTGTAACCAATCAAATCAAAACAATGAATCATTGATAGTCTATTAAGAGAATAATAACACTGATTGTTCATAAACACATGAACACATATTTTGAATTACAAGTTAATGAATCACTAAGTTAAAATTATTAGTAACGACATCCAAGAGAACTTTCATCGATTGGGGGTCAGGAATTTCAAACGAGGTTGGGTAAAAATCAGTACATATTCTTAACAGATAAAAGAATATTGAATAACAATCTGTAAAACCATTATTGTGACTGGTTAACAATGAACATGTGATGTCATTAAATTTGATCTTCCTAATGGTCACTTTGAATCGTCAAATCAGAATGAAACAACTAAACACTCAAAAATCTATATAAATCAGACAAGTTTTAATAAAATTTCAATTACAAATTTGAACGAGATGATGAGGTGAGTGTTGAAACAACTTGCGGAGTAAACTAATTTGTCATGCAACCTGAAATAACGATAGTTTTCTATTTACACAATTTTAGATACAACTTTCTATATGATCTGTTCGTGCGGATTTATATCGTCCTGAACGTGTTTTCGGAATTCCAAGACTGCGAAGAAATATGTAAACACCCGGATTGGAAGAACCATGCACAAGTGATTTTCCAAAATGATTCATATCTATATGTAAGTAATCAGTCAGATTCTAATACACATATACAGTATCATGATTATCATTACTCACAAACAATTAGTCTTAACCAGCCTAAACCAGTTGTGAATGGCAAATTTGATCGATTCTCTCCTCTTAAAGTGAGTTGAATAAATTATTTAATAAGTTACTAATCTATATGTTTACATCGTTTTAGCCTGTTGATAAACAAGTACCGTTTAAATAATATGATGTTGATGTCAATGCATTTAATTCTTGGGTTAATGGTAAGTCAATAATTTTCTTTGAACTAAAATTCTCACTGAGATTTCTTGATCACAATTCATTCTATGAATCAATGTTGATCACATTCTTCATTGAACCAGCCCAGTGCTCCTTGTGACAATCAAAGCTTCTTTGGATTCCTTTTTGGTTTAGATTGTTAACAATGTGACACCCCACAGCAAAGCGAACACAGTTCATGCAATTCGCTTAAATCATTAGTTTATTGAGAAATCATTTATTCATTTCATGTAAAATTAACAAACAATTTGCATGTTTTCATTAAATAAATACAGGTGTGATAATCGTATTTAAAAACAATGACGGAATTGGAAGGATCTTAAATTATTTAAACAGCTTTTCGTCATCTGAAGTTGAGGTTTTAGAAAAGAGTGAGTTCTTTTATTATTGAGTCGTAGTTTATTTTGTTTACTTTTCTCATGTTCATTTTGTGTAAATGATATCTTATCGACACGAAACTTTACTGTAAACAAAGCAAATCAAACTGATCAAATGTGCAGTAAGAAGCGATGTTCTAAGTGAAGTCTGTGTGAACTATTGAAGCTTACAAACTATCACATCATATTTAATGTCCTTCAATTCTTTTCCAGCAACTACTTGTTTTATAAATGTTTATTGTCTCTGAGTCGCTGTCTGTTGACTGTCGAATACTGAACTCCATCTCTGCCATTATATTCATGTGACTGTGAGCACCGAATGAAGACACTTCATGAAAGAGCTGATTAATAAACTTTCATGAACAGTCCGCTAGTGCAATAAGTTTTACTCGGACTTGAACACCTAGAACATCACGTTTTCATACATTCATATCTATCAGCTGTCCGAAATGATGAATAACACAACCTAAGAAAATGAATTTGTTTAGCTATTGTCAGATAGATATTAGGTGACTCTTACTCAGTGTAAAGATCTTGAGACAAATATTACGGGAGTGAAATATTTTTCTGAGTTGACTAGATTGAAACGTTCATCGTGTCAATGAAGTGACAATATTCTTTGAAGCTTCCTCATAAGAGATGATTGATCATTTCACCATATCGTTTCATGAAAATCTCAGAATTTGATGATAACTTGTATGCAAAAGTATTCCGTGGTAAAACGTACATTTATTGAAGGAGAAGTATATTGATTAGAGATATTTTTCATTATCTACTTTTATTTTCATTATTTCAGAGGAACTCATTGCTGTCAAATTTTTTCTTAAAGAAAAAGATAATGGTACAAGTAAGTTGGCACATATGAAACCTGCACACTGACATTTTCACTCATTGTAATCACTCACTATTTGTGCAATTTCATTAATCTCAGAAAATGAAAATGTAACAAACTGTTCCTTTCTGGAAAATGAGTGTTGAACCACATATGGAATTCACTCATCATTTGATTACATTAATTGAGACTTGAACCCCAGTTGACATGAACTGAAAAATACCAGATATGACATGTAGAAATTGATCACCGTAGATAAATTAAATCAAAATCTCACATCGGCCGTTGGAAAATGAATGCGGAGATTCACTTTCGTTCAAAGTTTTCGATGAGACTTGACTATAATTCTGTTTTTCAAAACAAATGAATCGTGCTTTATGTTCGTCACAAAGCCAGTCCTGTGTACAACATATTCATCCAAACATCAATTCATCTCATACTCATTCCTATATATTATACTTTCACATTGAGAAATCGTTGAGATTTCACCTTTTAACCTATTAGTTTCTCATCTCAACAAACAAACACTGTGGTCGGTCCTAGTCAATCGATTATCGCAATAGTTATACAGATTCCGAAACTAAGCTATTGACTATAGTTTAGTAGGATGCATGCTCATTTCATCCACATGAAGGTCACTTCAATGTATTGATTGCAGATCCAACTGAAGAAGGCATTTGACAGTACTCAGTAAATATACACTAAATATGACCACAAAGTGAGTGGGCATATACTGTGATGCACTTGTCTTTCAAATTTTAAGTATTGTTAGTCTTTTAATTGTAGAGTTTACAGCCAAGATAACTAATCTGATACATGCGGATGGGAAGATATCTATCTATTATGAGGACGTAAGTTACTAAATTGAATAAAAATATAACTTTGTTTTAAGTACTTGTAATCATTCTACAGTTTCATGTTTATTAACACTGTCGGATGTATTAGGCTACATCGAACACGATAGCAAGAGATCAAAATTTTGTGATGTGCCAACAGACTATTTAACCACGTGATTATTTTTTTAATGACACAAATCATTCTAGTACTTGTTAGAAAAGTGAATAATTAGAAGTGTAGTGCTCTCAACTTTAACAAAGATGTCTTCATGCCGAATTGTACGAACCAGTGTATGTCAGAATACTGTATGTAAAGATTCACATTCTGTCACACTATATTTCATCTTCAGATTATCAGCTTTTCGGAACGTTCACTGTTGAATATTCTGAGCGCAGCTTCCTTATAGTTGTCTACAATCAGATTTCATTACAACTGACGTAGATTTTTACCTCACTATGTCACCATATTACGTGATAGACATATAAGAAATCAAACTTTGCTGAAGTTGACAACTCGAGTCATTCAGAATAACAATGTACACAAGATGGGTCGCTTTTATAAAGAAATTGAGAATATCAGTATACGCCATGTAAATGTGGTTAAGATAAGTTGAACTAAATCCTATTTCTTCAATGATCAATTGATTTTGATATGGGAGATTTTATGGTAACAAATCTTCACATTATGTTTTTTTGCAGATTTCAATGGAGATTAGTGAAAGTCAGCCGATGTTAGGAATCCAAAAATACCTTCAATGTAATAAAAGTAAGAAACTTCTCAACGAATGTTGTTAAGAGTTTGATATACAGTGACGTACATAATCAATCATCTGTTTAATGAGGCTCACAATTGCCGTCCTCATTCATATCATCACTCTATACAAAGTGAAGTGTGTTTTGTGTAAGAAAGGGATGAATGAGTGTCACCTGAATCCAATATTTCCTTCACACAATGCTCAATCCTATGTATTATTGAAAGATGAAACCGTGTTTTATGATGAGCATTGTCTAAAAGTGAATAGGCGGAATACAGTGATTTATGACCACATATAGAAAAATGCAGAAAATGTTTGGTCAGGTGATACATTTTGAAATGTCCTGCGCTCTAGTCCAAGAGTAAACATCAACTCCGAGATGTGGAAGGAAATTTAGTCATCCTTCGTTTTCGATTTGCTGCTTCCATGTTGTTTTATTGTAAGTTGAAATGTAAGAAAATGTTCAATGAGTTGAACGTAATTTTTGTAGTTGTTGCACCGATTTCTTCGTTAGGTAACTTTCGAAACCCATAGCGATGTAAACCAAAAATTTTGTGGATGTTGAATGATCACAACTGCATCCGTCATGGGATATTTTTTAGTTTCTTATTTTGACCGCTTCTTAATTGTGAAAAACATCTTGTTATACTTAAAAATGAAATCTTAATTTTAAGAATAATTTTCTGTTCAATGTGTCACAGAAGGTAAAATAGAACATAAGATACCTGTTCCTGTAGAATGGATCAAAAGCGGCACTTTGGTGGAGTATGAAGTCATCGGGGGTATGTTAAACTTTATTTTATCATCGTTTATTAATTTCAGACTTCAATCCGTCCTTTTTATTTTAACAAGTTAAAAGCTTTCATATGTAACTGCAGTCAGCTATTAAATGATATCCAGGTATTCGTCTCAAATAAGGTTTCTCATACCAATAATAACTACTCGTCGATTCATTTTTAAAAGATCAAAATTGATAATATACCTAATTTGGACGATTATTGAAGTTTTCACTTAGGTGAAATCAGCTTGTGAACAAAATCACAAAACGACAGATAAGTTGATGTTGATCTCTAAATTGTTCAAGTGACAGTTAGTTGATTGTGCGTTGACTAACCAGTGTTCGTTTTTTTCTTTTGGTACATGTGATATCGAATATTTCTGGAGCATTGAAACTAGAAGAACACACCATGTATTTGCGATTAACTTGAGAACGATTGCCTAGTTTCCAAAATATCTGCTTTGCCATACACATTCGATAAAATGACAATGAAGAAATGCGACGTCTTCAAACTACAATTCATCATATTCAGTCTCAGAATTATTGACTTATTTCACAGTATGAAAATGAGGTCTTTGTCATCAATATGGACACTCAGTAACTTGAAACAGATTTCAGTTCACCAAGTGCTAGGCTACTGCAATAACATTTTGAACACTGAGAGAATCATTCCATTGCACTTCAAATCGCCCTTTATATTCGGCGAATAAAATATATCTTTACCATCGACGAATTATCGTTAATTCATTTGGTCTGTTGCATTAACTAACAGCACACAGACCAGTATGAGGCCACATACTTCAATATCGTTTATCATAATAGGTCGACTAAAATCTCTTCAAGTAAAATGTCATTATTGATTGGAAAACCAATGTCTATGTTTATTTAATACTCATCTGAATTACCATAAGAACGCCTGAATTTCTAGCACCGATTTCATGAAAAATAAAACTGTGTATTGATGAAACATAAAATGCAGTACACTTTGCTGAATCCAGTGACAGCATCGAGTGTACATGTGTGAATGCAATCAGTCAATGAAATCTGTCAAGTTTGCCAGTCGATATTCATCGCTTGTACTTGACATTCAAACTTGTTCCATCAATCCGAACGTGTCTTTGTGAAAGATGACTGAAATTCGAGAGGATACTGATTATTGCATTGTGCATAGTAGTGACAATTCTCCAATGGATGAAATAGCCGCTTAACACTGAAATCACCATCATGTCATTGAATTATAGTTGCATGTATTGTAATTATGTTTACTTTTGTTCAAAAGTTCGAATCATTAATTTGCCTTATTACTTTGACAGCCATTTGTCCAATACACAATTCATCTGAAGCATGTGAAAAAGCAACCACATCGAATACACCATGTATTTGGTGTGAGAAATGGAACACGTGCATAGACAGTAATGATCAGGGTAATCATTTCTTTAAAGTGAATGGTTGCCATTTTATGGTAAGTACTTGTTGAACTGATTGTCAAATCCATGGTAGATGTTCTGAATGATTGTACAAATGCACATTTTGTTACTATTTGTTGAATCGTCTTCTATCACCCTAATTAACAGTAATACGTAGTGAATTATTCAAAAAGGTGCTTCGTGTTTTGTAAAGAATGCTACTATTTTGTTTATTCAGAAAAGCCAGGATGTTGACGACGGAACCACTGAAGTTCAGGTTGAGGGAAACCTCGAAGAAACTACCGAAGAAACTGATCAATACTCGGTAAATATTCGATATTTACTAATAAATGATACTGTTTTGTTTTTTCTAGATATTTTGTGTTTTTTAATAAATAATACTGTTTTGTTTTTCTTTAGAATGTAACTACTGATATGAATAAAGAAAGTAGACAGAATAGATCGTTTTGGTATTTGTATATTATAATTCCTCTGGTCATCTCCATCGCTGTATGCACGGGATACGTTACCTGGAAAGTTTTGCATAAAAGAAGGAGAGCTAATCAATGATGCTCAACAAAGTATCATAATTGGATTCGAATAAACTAACCGAGTTTTTTTCTTTTTTTTGTATTTCACTAAACAGTTTTGGATTTTTTCATTCATTTTAATGGTTTAAACACTTTCTTCATAGCACTATGTACATTATGTGCTTCCTTATGTAACAATTGATGTACACTTTTTAATAAAATACCGGACACTCCTTTTAATATTTGCGTCATTGTCTTCATTCATTAAAAACTGACTTGTTTTTTGATGAGAGTTTGACAAGATTTTATTCTTGAATGAGTAGAATTGTGTATACGTGACTTTGTGATTATATCAATCAACAATGAGACCGTTGTGAATGTTTATCATCATGACGTCGGACGATTGTCACTCCTTCTGGTCTATTGAATGCCAATCAACTAAAATTTGGTTTATGTTACTCCCCAAACATATGTCCACAAGGGATGAAAAGCCCAGTAAGTGAACTGATAGTAGTTGAGGTTTGCCCAAATGATTTTAGTTTTTGTGGTCAGCATCAAATGTATTTTGACTAGAGACTTACTGCTGTCCCACGTCATCTGAATGAGATGAAGCATGTCGTAAATCGAAGTAGGTGTTCATTTTGTGTACCTCGTTTCGAACGTTTGGGACATTTTGTTGAACGTCCTGCTTTTAAACTCGATATACAGTGACTAGCTCCACTTACAAACTAAACATTTCCTCACCGGTGAATTTTCTTCAATATTGTTACTGATTTGTTTCAAATTTTCCCCATCTTGTCCATTCTGTTTTGAAAAATAATGGTGACCCGAAAGTGAAAAATCAACATGATTTCACCTGATCAACGCAAAGAAGCAATAAAAAATACAGATGTTCGCTAAATCCTGAGTAATGACGGTTGAACCATCTCAAAGCTTGTCAGAAGTGATCACGTATATAGTTATACAAGCTTGAATAAATCGGTTCCATGTTCATATACGTGGGTGGTCACTTCGAATAACCTACTTCATTCAATTATGTACATATGAGTAGTGCGAAATCTTTCTTGAGGGTTGCTTCACCTCTTCAAATTGCAAAACGTCTTCATCTCAAGTCTAGATATTTCGGTGTGACTACTGAATTCACAAGTTTTCAAAACAAACTGACTTGATACAGATGTTTGAATCGTGAACTGCAAACCCTAACATGACATTTTTTTATAAAGAAGATTGCGCATCCCAATTTATTTACGAGTTGTAGTTTATCTGTGTTCCTATATGCTTCCGCTCTAATGCACAAGACGATTTCCAAACTCTAACGAATCGATGACTAAAATGAGTTTTGATCAAACATGAAACCAGACTCGATAGCGAACGCATATTTCTCCGTGAAATTCCTGATCAACTGACAGTGAGTCTAGAAACGATGACAATGAGAGTCATGGGAGACAACAAGAAGTATGTTAGAAAACTTCACTTCATAAATCTTACTGAAATACCTAGCAAGCGAATGTAAAACTTTATGACATATGCATGGCAACGATGGTGAGTAAACGCAATAAAACTGTTAAAACCATGTTGCTTCGAAAAGCAATCAATCTAGTTTATCATCCTGACAGAGGATGGCGCAACATGATATGAAAATGATAAACACATAATAAACGATCAGGACACTATCTGTAACACAAACAGACATAAAAAGCGAGCTCATATTCATCACCGGAAGAATTCCGTTTCTCACCAGTGTTCATAAAGGCACAGCACCATAACTACATGTTCATGTATTCTGAACTGGACTCAAGCACAAAGTGGAATGTGTCACCGAAAATGATTGAAGATTTTCAAGTCAGATGATGTTATTGAGTCTACTTTGAAACAGTTTATACCAAGATATCTCAAACGTTCACCAATTCACAAGTGTTCTCAACGAAACATGAACTACGACAGCCGATCGATCCAATACGCTGTGCGTATATTTGGCACGGATCGGCAAAGCAAGAGCAGCATATTTACAACTAAAGAACATCTGGAACTCAAAAAAGCTGGCAACCAACAACAAAGTCAGAATTTTCAATACAAATGTGAAGACAGTTCTACTGTATGGGGCGGAAACCTGGAAAACCACAAAAGCCATCATCCAAAAGATACAGGTGTTTAATAACAGTTGTCCACGCAAAATACTTTGGATCCGTTGGCCGGACACTATTAGCAACAACCTACTGTGGGAGAGCACAAATCAGATCTCAGTGGATGGAGAAATCAGGAAGAAGCGCAGGAAGTGGATAGGACACACATTGAGGAAGGCATCGAACTGCATCACGAGACTAGCCCTCACATGGAATCCTCAAGGTCGAAGGATGAGAGGAAGACCAAGGAACACATTACGTCGAGAAATGGAGATAGGCATGAGAAAAATGAACAAGAATTGGATAGAACTAGAAAAGAAGGCCCAGGACAGAGTGGGTTGTAGAATGCTGATCGGTGGCCTATGCTCAATTGGGGGTAACAGGCATAAGTAAG